TGGCTTGAGTTGTAGGGATCGAACCACAGCAACCTGAGCCTGACTGCTTTGTTGAAGCAGCCACTTAAAGAACTGAGCTAAGGGGCAGGCCCCCAACTACACTTTTCAATAAAGTTGTTTCTTTCTTTTTCCTACCAATGTCTTCTTTCAGATGAATTTTACCCTCACTATCAAATTAACCATATAATTGGGCTGAGGAGATAGTTCAGCAGTCTAAGCACCAGCGTGGCAAGTGCAAGGACTCAGGTTCCATCCCTGGTACCACACGCCATGCCGGCCACTAAAACCAGGCATGGTGGTGCAAAATTGTAATCCCAGCGCTGGGAGGCTGAGACAGGAAGATCACTATGAGTTTGAGCTGTGTAGAAAGACCCTATATTAGATAGATAGATAGATAGATAGATAGATAGATAGATAGACAGATAGATACATAGATACATAGATACATAGATACATAGATACATAGATACATAGCTTGACTTTTTAAAAAATTAACTATATATTTAAGAAAATCTTTTGGAGAGTTTTAACTCAAGTTCCAACAAGAAAAAAATAAAAAGCATAGGACCTAAAAAAAGAAAACAAGACTTAATTATTCATAAATTTTATGAGAAATATTTCCATAAACACTTTTTAAATCTAAACATAAGTTATTCAATATAATAGAATAAATGCTCACTTTAGCAGCACACGTAGTAAAAGTCAACATAACAGATTAAGTTTAGTAGAGTAGTTAGATTTAATGAATAAGCAAAGTCATTTATCTAAGTGAATTTGCTACAAGGACCAAGCCAATTTGACTAGTTCTCTTACTAAATGTGCATCTGTCACATCAAGAAAGAACCTTCATATCTTAGTAATCCACAACAGACCAAAGATGGCTTTTACCCAGCAAGGAAAGAGATGACAACAATCAAACTGTGTCTCTGTTTAAAAGAAGCAGTTACAGATCACTGGCTCTGATCCAAGTGTAGATATTCCAAAGAATCTCTTAATTAAAAAGGATATCTTTTTTAGCTAAAAACTCATGAGCTCAATTATCTAGGTTTCAATATAAATTCCTTTCTTACTGCACAAAAATCTCCACTATAAATTTGTCACCTATATGGTAGGTCAACCTCAGAAGAGAAGAGAGAAACAAGTATCTTGTAGTTTCCTTACTTTGAGTTTCTGGGCTTCTCCTCTCACTTTCAGCAGTTCAGTAATAGAGTCCACAAAGCCCTGGTAATGAAAGTTGCACATTTTCTCAATTTCTCGGTCATGATTACGGATACGAGTTTCAAGCTTCTCCATGAATCGTCCATGTTCCTCACCATCATAGACAGACCTTTAAAAAAAAGCCATGAAAATTATACCACACTTTTTTTTAAGCAGAAAGCAAAATACAAATCCAGAAGCAGTTTTATTTGAAAACTAGGTTTTTAGGGTACATAAATCACAAAGTAATCCAATTGTATTAACACTATTTCAATGCTAAAGAGTACTTTTTAGGAAAGCCAAAAATTTTGCTTGATCATTCACTTATAAATATTTGACGATATTTATTACAAAATTCTCATAAAATGAAAGGAGTGAATTACAATGCTCTTGACTATATCTTAATCTAACTATTATAGACAAACTCAATTTTGGTAACCCAACTACCCAATTATTCCATGAATTTACTCAAAAAGCTAAAAATTACTAGAGAAATTTCATAGTTGGGCTGGTTATACTCAGTCAGTATAGCTCTACAGCTACAAATCTATAATAGGCATTCAATACCACTAGAGAATTCTACTACACATTGAGTAGTCCTTATCCAAAATGCCTGAGGATGAGAAATATTTCAAATTCCAGAGTTTTTCAGATTTTGGAACATTTGTAAATACATAATAAGATATTCTAGAGAAGGGGCCCAGACTTAACCATGAAATTCAGAAATGTTTCAGATACATCTTACACACATAGCCCAAAGGCAAGTATATATAATATTTTTAGTGCATCAGCATTCTGACTGCAGCTTATCATGAAGTTAAGTGTAGAACTTTCCACTTGCAACATCTGTTATAGGGACACTCCAAAACTTTGTATTTTAGGGCATTTCAAGTACTAAATTTAAATTGGGGATGTTCAATCTGCTATCCCCTCCCAAAAAAAAAGTATTCTTGGAAATATTTAACCTTACTTTCTCCTCTCCTAAAATGTCCACTCCCTCACTGTCAGCTACTTGACCTTACTATATACCTCACAAAAAAAGAAAAAGCAAAATATTTCTTCCCCCATGAAAACCAACCAACCTGCTAAGATGTATACCTCTTACTCTGTCCAGCCTTCTATAACAATAGAAGTGTTCCAAGCTTTTAGGTACAATCAACCCTTCTAGTTGTCTCAAGAACTTTCCTCCTATAATCATTTCCTTTTATCCGTCCTTTGCACTACATAGTTCCCCCTCTCTACTACATCATTCTCATATATGTTAATATGACCTTTAACAATCTGCCTTTAACAATATATACATCCCTCTCCAACTATCTCATTTCTCTGCTCCCCTACCCAAAGGAGGAAAAAAAAGCAAAATTCCTTTCCACCTCAATAACTTGACAAAAGTTAAGTGTTCATCATATTTCACTGTTGCTAAGAGTTTGAGAGCTTTTCCTTAAACACTCATAGATTGCAAAGATGCCAGATACATACTAACATGATTTTTAACCTTTGACTGACATGTCTTCTCCATATCACTTCCCAGCTCCTCCTTCTCCATTTCACAGCTAAGTATTCATAAAAACCATTCATTTCTTTTCTGCTTTCTCTCACCAAGCAATCAATTTCATGGCTTTGAAATACCATCTACTTAGTGCTGACTTGCAATCTATCCTTACAATTCAGAACTTATCCCTGCAGCCTAGACTCAAATCTCCAGCTACTACTCACCGACTCCAATTGAATTTTTTGAAGCTACCTCAGATATAACAAAGAACAATATATATTTCATAACCAACGTATCTTCACTTCCAAACTTATTCCTCACTAAATTTCTCAACCAACTATCCACATTGCTCATGGCACTATCCAGTTGCCCAAGCTAAATATTCAACAATCACTTCAAATCTATCTTTTCTCAGAGTCAGCAAGATAGTTCAGTGGACTAAGCACTTGCTTAGGCAAGCACAGGGGCCAGGGTTTGATCCTTGGCACTGCATGCTGTGCCGACCCCGTCCCCAGGCATACTGAGCCAGCAATGGAGTCTAGGCGTGGTGGCGCACACCTATAATTTCAGCACCAGGGAGGCAGAAAACAGGAGGATCATCACAAGTCCAGGCTGCATAGTGAGACCCTGCACACTCACAAAAACAAAAAAAATCACTTCCCATCTTGTCTTGATTCTAATCCATTAATAAAGTCCTGCCACTCACCCTCTAAAAGGTGTCCCTTAAAATTGACCGTATCTCACCACTTCTGTTAAAACTAATGGTTTTTCCAGGCTAAACAAAAGATTTAAAGTAGAGAAAGACTGCCATCTAGTGATGGCACATTACAACAGTCCTTAAAACCTGAATGTGATGAAGCCAGGTAAAAGGAATTGTTAAAAGAAATCTAAAACCTATATTCCATAAACTTGTAAGCCAAAGAGTTATAAATATAAAAATTATAAATAAATCGCTTTAATATTTCAGCTTCTACTTATTAAAAATAGGGTCTTTCAAACAAAGTCATGTGTTTCTGACACGCCTAAATATGAGACAGTTCAACAACAGCATCTACGGAAATGAACTGCACCTCTGGGTTAAGCTGCATGTGCTAATTCCAAGAGTATCCCAATACGTAATAAAAGGTAAATAAGAAATGCTTAGAAATTAACAATAGTTTTTTACAGCCTAAGTTTAGACTAAAATAAGTAAGTGCCAGTATGTGGAGTCTGATTTCAAACTGTACCCCCACAGAAAATCACAGGTTTTTGCAAAAAGAATCCTACCAACCATATCTAATGTATATTCTATACATCATAAAATGGTACTGTATCCTTCTTTCATGCAGATTTCATATACCTATTAAGAAATTCTTACTCATGAAATGTACATAAGAAATTTAACTAAACCATTATTTATCATTGTACATTGAACCAGCACAGGATTATATAACATGCTTACAGTCTACATCAGCTCAAATCTGCATGTTAAGTGGGGGAGACTATGAATATGTTATTTCATTTAAATCCTATGTACCTTATAAATCACATATTATTCCCATTTACAAAGAACCGGAAAGCCAAGAAGATGAACTTGCCAATTCATACAACTAGAAAGTATCCTCTCCAGCACATCAGTCTATCCTCTTAAAGCATGTGTCACCAACACATTAAGGGCTGTGTGCCCACACAGACCACATGGGGCCTGGAGCGTAGAGTCATGGAAAGCTATGAGAAGAAATACGAACAAGCTCCGCCGCCATCTACATCACTCAAAACAAGGCCCAGAAGAAGCTGCAGTTGATCCTGGCAGTTTTTAGGTGGCTGTGCATCCTGAAGGGCGTTTTATCCCCATTAGCCCAAACATAGGAAGAAAGTTAACAAGGGCTCTTCAGCAGACTGAAACTTTTATCTCATTAACAGCATCAAGTTTCTCCTCCATGACCCCACTGTCAACAAATTCCAGGAATACAAGGTGTTTGTTCATAAGCTCGGGAAAGCCTACAGGAAAAGCAAGTGAAACACTGTAGAGTGTCTGAAGGACAATAAGCCCACCTACAAATTTGACCATATCATCAAGGAGTAGTATCATCAGTTCCCTATAGGACCTGAACAATGCCCTGTCCATGTGCTTCCTCTTTTCCACCTTCCTGCAGGCAGGCAAGTGCCACGTGCATACCACCCAGCTGTGCCACCAGCTCACTGTGCAGTTTCTACACTGCATCATTGTCGCCCATGTCCTGCCAAGGTCTTTCTGTCCATCAAAGGCACTTACTATCAGGCTGAGGTGCTGGGACAGCCCATCATATGGATCACACCCTATGCCTTTTCCCGTAATCATCTGACAGATGAACTACAGGGTCATGGCTCCTTTGAGTTCTATACCACCTCACTAGGCTCTGCCAACTTCTCCCTCTATCATTTGTTCAACCTCCACTATCCATCAAAGCTCAAGTCTCAAGGGTCAGGCCCAAGCAGAGATGAAGACAAGGAAGGATGCCTATGTATTGGACTCCAAGAGCTCCATGGAGGTAGGTATTGGTAGCCATCAGTGCCAGCCTGGCCAGTGTGGTGGTGCCTACTACAGAAGAGGAGGCTGAGGCCAATGAGTTTCCTCCTGGTGGAACGATGGCGGTACAGGAAGAGAACCACAGGAAACAGCTGGATGTTCATGAAAAGCACAAGCTCTTTGAAGACCTGAAGTTCTTCCTGAACCTCATGGTACCTGGAGGGAACCTGGCCTTCGTCAGGAAAGGTTTCAGGGGGTATGTGTCTTGGAATAAATCTTTGTGCTCCGGGCCACCTATGATGTCAGAATTCTGCATCACGCACCAGAATGTCAACCCAGCCGGACAGCAAAGTCCCATTATAGGCAGACACAATGTGCCACCCCAGTGGGTGTTTGACTACGTCAATGCACAGCTCCTCCTTCCTGTGGCAGAGGACTTCCTTGGGTACAGCTGCTGCCACACGTTTTGCCTTTCCTGTCTGAGAAGGAAAGAGATTATATCCCACCTGGGGAACTGAAACTTCTGGCTCTGCAGTAAGGAGAGGTCCCAGGAAACCTGAAAGAGTCAGAAGAGGAAGAATAACAGGAAGAAGACAGGAAAGACAATGGTGATGAAGAGAAGAGGACTTTGTAGAGGCTGGTTTGGAGAAGAAAGAGGCCCACCTGGCAGCCCTGACCAAGCAGAGGATGGAGGAAAAGAAACCGAGGGTGATGACAGGCACCACGAATCTAGAAAACAAACAGCGGCTGGCTCAAGAAGAGAGGAGTGAGGCCACGTGCCTAACCACCATGACGATGAAGAAGCAGAAGTACCTTTGCTGAAAGATCATGTTTGGCAAAAGGCACAAAATCCTAGAGGCCAACAAACTGACAAGAAGCAAAAGCCATGATGAAGCTCTGAGGTCTGAGAAGACGAAGTAAAGAAGGCAAGGTCTGTGTGAGTGTTCATGGCCTTCCTGACAGCTGGACAGGCCACTGGACCTAAGCTGGGTGGCCGAAAAGCCACCTCTGTGCTCATCTCTGTTCTCCCCCCAGTCAGCCCTGGTACCCTCATGCTCTCTGGTTGGGTGCATGGACTGTCCAGGCTTCTGTGGACAGAGCTCCCTGTTGATGGCTGCACAAAGAAGAGGCCTTCTGTATTTTCAAGAGT